CACACACACACACACACACACACACACACACATATATATATATATATATATATATATATATATATATATATATATTTACATGTATAAATTTATATATATGAATTATAGGTATGTATATATATACATTTATGTATCAAAACATAGTTTCCTGTACTACGCCACGCTTTTAGGGCAGAAATTGTGGTTTGTTGTGATTGAAATGCGACTTATTCTCGTTCGTGTAGTGCAATGTTCTGTAAGGCGAACAATCTGCCCGCTGCTATATGCTATTGCGATGCAGGATGTGTAGTACAAGATTATTAATGTCACCTAGGCCTCTCTAGTACCAAGCAACGTCTATATTTCGGTCTGCCAGGTTGGGCGTTCACTACATGTTCGAGGTCCGTGTGCTTGATATTTGTTGGTGAATTACTTATACCTTTGTATGTCGTTGTGGCGGAGCATATTCATCAAGTTTACGATCCTGTGTCGGTTGCGATACACACTTATTCGCATTGTAAGTCCTAAAATCCTTTGGTTGATGCGGATGAGTTGTGCTAAAAGTAATCGAAGGTGCGAGTGTTCGTGGAGCCCGTGGTATGAGCACGCGGTAGTTGTTTTTAAATTCTTATGCATTCCGGTACCGGAATGAGCCAAAATGTTTAAGGTATCGTAATACCAATATGTAGCTGGCCGGGCAATCTACACCATCACCAATTAATTGATCGAGTGCTCGAAATTGGCTTGTACACAGCTATTAAGTTCTACTATGAATGACATAAGACAAGTAAGGTCTTCAAGAGAATATACTTCGCTTTCACATACTAATGTTTGCATCGACAGATATGCGGATATGTATCTGCAGGTGTGCCGCAGTTCTATGCATCAATATATGTATGTATTCATCATACATGTGCACGGATGTCGAACTCAACATTGACATCCATCACATTGCAGGAGACTTCACAAGGCCCCCACGACGGGAACGCACAAAGGGAGTCCGGTGGTGGGGGTGGCGGTAGCAGGTAGCGTATATGTAATGACCACGCGTGTTGTTCTTGCATGATTGCGCGCGCGTGTGTGTATCTACGGTCTCCTTTATTTGCATGCTACAGCCTACCTGTTTCGTGAGGCTGTTCGTTCGTGCGCTACGGGACCGTTGCAAGCGTGGAGGGGCGCCGCCCTAGGCTAACAACGTACGAATGCCTCGGTGTGCCCAGCGGGACTATTCGTATGTACTATACGCGTATCTGTAGGTACATATACGTTTACTATTATCCGTAGGTACATATACGTTTACTATCCAAACTTAATCTCTCGTGGTGTGCGTACACCGTGTTCCACCCCATTGCCCTGCCTTGAGACTCAGACTGTAAAAAACAAGAGAACATCGTATAGGCCGGTACAAGTACTCGCCTCTGCTCGTTTGTAAGAGTTTAAAGGGCGATGGGTTGTAGTCTATCAGGCGGTACGGATACTCAGTCTGACACGTCTATAGTACGATAATCGACCTCAGTGGACTCAATCACGCGTCTCTACTCGGCTGTATATGCGGTACTTTAGGGGTTTTAGGGGTTTTAAGTGGTTTAGAACCCCGTCTTGTCGAAGTGAGCACAAGCACGCACCTCCGCGCAGGCACACGACCGTGGCAGTCCATGGGATGGGATTTATCAACGGTGTGTGTGTGTATATTGTATGAGACAGCATATCACAAGCACATGTGTGTATATGTATACGGTTGTCTGGTAAAAGCTGGTACAATGCTCGGATGTCTGCTCCTCCTACCCTACCGCAGCGGCTTACGGGGTGACGGGTATAATGAGGCTGAGTGCTACGCCTTCATCTGCGAATCACTGGTAGCTGCTGCGCGCGACAGCTCGTGTCTTGTGAGGAAAGAGGCCGCCATTGCGTTGCATACGTTATTGCTGGTATGTTGTGGTCAGCTGTAGGCATTGCGTTGCATACGCTATTGCTGGTATGTTGTGGTCAGCGGTAGGGGCTCGGATAGACTTGGACTGGTCTGTGTATGTGAGGTAGAGCGCATTAGCACGTACACACAGTTGCTACTGCAGGGATTAGGCGAGCAGTGGTATTCGCGTTGCTACGCGACACGGTACTACAAGCAGATACACTCACAGTTCCATATGCACGCGCTAGCGAATTCGTAGACGTTGACACCGGTAGGCTAAGGTGTTACTCGTATGCAGACGCTTCTAATTTGTACGCGTTTGTCATATCATACAAAATAACTGACTTGTACGTAAACTCTATGTATATATCTATTTTGCCTACTGGGTTCTTTCTTTGATACTGGGTTGAATACGTTCTTTTGGCTGAGAATTTCGCCGCCTCGCTAGCACTTTAATAGTCATGTCGAGTGCTGTGTGTTGGATTGGGACACCAAAGGTCGAGCCAAGTGAGCCTAGTAGCTGCTGTAGTGTGCGTCTATTCTACCACGCTCTGTTCTCACAAATATGTTGATTGCCTCTATACGGGGTTGTCATCATTCTGTGCTTAGCTAAAAGCTGTCCGTGCAAACGATAAGTGATGTAGCCTGGTGTGTGCTGCGTGGTGGTGTATCCCGCTTGCGCTGCCTAGAGTGTCAGTGCTATGTTAGAACGCGTAGCGGTGTGCGGATGATGCCATGTTCGCACAGGGCAACTCGTGATCGTGTGGCATATGCCGCCATTCGCAAGCAGTTCCAAATAGAGCAGTACCTCCTGCTGTATGAGGCAATGGCTGTAGTACTATGTGACCTTTGGGCTCGGGTGCTGTCCTGTGTGCTGCAGCCAGAGTGTGTAAACGCGCGTGCAGGCACACGCCCGCATTCAGCAATTGTAGAACACCTGTTTCGGATAACCCCACACAAGCACATTGAAAACCCCACCGAAGAAAACTACAGGATTGACTTGCAACACTGGGACCAATTTATTACAGAGGATAGCCAAATATCATGCTGTGGTCATGTCCACATTCTCAAAATGTTTCAGAACATTTTGAGGATTGTGCCTTGCGCATTATAAACGTATTTTTCACAAACGTATTTACTTTGCGTATTGGGATGGTTGGAAGTATAGACCAAGGTATACATCCCGCACAGAGTATGAATAGCTCCCTAACACCCTAACACCCACTCACACCCACTTCGTATTGTGGCCTCCACAGAGCTACCACTCTGATTTTGTCATCGCGGGGCATCAAAGAGCGGCACGCGTGGCTATGAACAACGGCATAATCTATCGCACAGGACTCTCACAGGTGTGTTTGTGGTACTATTTGTATTCATTCGATATGTATATTGGTTAGTAGTTTCACGGTACTCTCACAGGTGTGCTTGTAGTATGCTTTGTTTTCCTTCGATACGTAGATTGATTAGTATTTGTTGTCCCTATTTTGATGTACACATTTCCTCCCTGTTTCATCTCTGCAGAGTTGTTATACACTCGAACGCTCATCCATGCAAATGATAGTAGATCGGGCACAGTTCTGTTGCACTTAGACGTTGGAATTTGAGTTCTGAACTGCAACAGACAACCCACGTCTACATTATCACTCACAACTGCACGCTATCGCTCTCTCGGCTGTCTTTGCAGTGTGCCCTTATGACTACCTTCTCCACACCGCACTCTACGCAAGCATATATGTTTGCTGCACTGTTTCTGACGCATACGCACATACCCTCGCCATAGCGTAAAATTATCCAAGACATAATCTATGCGCATCTGCACAAAAAGTGTCAGTTGTTATTATCAGGGTCTTAGGGTTGAGGGGTTTAGGGTTTTTGAATCCTTTAATATCCAGCGCATGTATTCCGCAGTCAACCTGTACGTAGTCATAGACTTACACTCATATTATTCGCACTTACTTTCTCTCGCGCTCTCTCTCGCCACACAGGCACATGTTTACAGTGATGGCGATGATCCCAGAAGGCGGAGTGGGAGTACGGATACAAACGGCACGGTTGGCACGCACGAGACAAATCGAACCGAAACGAGCCTCAGCACAAGCAGTAACGGACTGGTCAGGTACTTTGCAGGCATATTTTTGCGCATGAGCCTGCAAGAACGTAGACACCCACACACATCAACCGATGCATAACATGTCTGTATAGAAAGCACTGTATTCGCGTTCTTTCGCATAAGCCCATGGAATTGTACACCTGGAAACCAATTTAAGCATATTTGTGTGATAGCACTTTGCGCTTCAGAGTCTGCGTATCGTTCGAGTGGTATATCGCGCGTCACTGTTGTCCTTTGTCCATTTTTCTTCTTCTTATTACCTTCCGATCGGATACTACTGCGTGTGCTATGCTTGTTCCACTCTTCTATGACAGCCAACTACTACCTACCGTACGATGCATGTACCTCAGTATGTCATACGATTGGTATGCTGTGAACGTGATCAACCTGTGGGTATAAAGTCGTAGTAAGTACTAAGTCGTTTAATAGTTTCGTATGCGATATGTAGTATAACGCTGCTACACGTTCACGTGTATGCCTGAGTTGTTAACTGGCACACTCCTTGCCCTCTGCAAGTCGCCCTGCCTCCGTCTATGCCAACCCGTTATCTCTATCTTATCCGCAGCCTCAGCTCGCAACTACAGGTCCTCGACCTGGCAAGCCGGACTGGCCTGGGCAACCACTACAGCACCAGCGATTCCACCAGTGCGAGGGGTGGGGCCAGACGGGATACAGGACCGGGCCAACGCACCCGGAAACAGGACAGTACAAGCAACGCAAGCACAGGCACAGGCACGAGTGCGAGTATCAGCGTCACAGTAACCCATCCCGAATACTCAACTGAGGACAACCACGCGGGCGGCAGAGACTACAGTGACCGGCGTCACGGAGGTAGGCACGACTCAGTCAACACCACCTCGAGACAGTCGAGCCTGGCAACGTCTGCGTCTGAGTCGGATGGGGGGTTGACCTGGGATGGGGAGCGCGAGCGTTCGTTGAGTAGTATATCGGGGTCTGCGGGAGCAACACACGAATACGGACAATACCCACACGAGTACGCGCAGGAGCGAGAGCAGGTGCATGTGATACCGTTTGAGCTGGCGTGGGATGAGCTGGTAGTGCTGTCGGACGATCCGTATCCGGAAATTGTACTCCTCGCACAGACGATTATGGATGATCTGAGGACACCGGGCTTTGAGAGGGTTCGCCCCGTTCGGTGAGTGTAGACTGTAGAGTCTGTGCCTCCCTCTCTGTGTGTGTATATGCATGTGTGTACTTGTACATGTGTATACATATTGCGTTATATTTATGTATGTATGCATGTATGTTTATATACACATTTATGTGCACTTAACTATGTATATGTGTGCCGTGTTTGCCTTTCTTAGTGCACAACGTCTCCCAGAGATTTTATCTCGCGCCGACGACTGCAGACGATCCGTGTCACACCGGCGACGCCAACAAAAAGAGCCTATACGAGTTGCGTTAGCCGTGCAAAGAAGTCACGGGCGAGTAGGGTATATAGCTCACTCTTACCGTATAGATGCGCTACAAAAGTGAAACCTCAGAAACTTACTGTGTGCGTGTCGACAGGGCCCAGGCTGCCCTCCGTTCAGGTGTTCTCATCGCATTTCATCTCATCCCATCTCATCCCATCTCATTCCATCGCATTTAATACATTGTCTATCCACACCACACAGATTCACCGCAGGGTTCTCTGGCGGGAGGGCACACAGCTCCAGCATGGACGACGGCTTCCCCCAACACGCACAAAGCAACACAACTACGGGAAGTAAGCTAAGCGCTGCTACGCGTGCGACAACTCCCAAAGCGCAGACGGCCAAGAGACAGCTCAGCTCGGGCAGCCAGAGCCAGGGCGGCATGACGAATGCTCTTGTTAAGGTGTGGGGTACACACTGCTGTACTTACTTCCACGTTCGCTGTGTTCTGTGTGTGTTTTTGTGAGTTAAAATGTATATAGAGCGTATAGGCACTTAGGAGGTGCTACTAGAACACATTTCCTCACACATATCCACAAATACATACAAACGCTGAACCCTAAACCCTAAACCCTAAACCCTCAACCCTAACAACCCTGAAAACCTTATAATGTCCCCAGAGTACGTCCGGCCTACAGAAGAGGTCGAGTGCATTCAGCTCTACCGGCGACATCACAAAGTTGATTGCGCTGGAAGGGTCCAATGCCTTAGGCTACGGCAATGGCTATGCCAGCGGTTTGCGGGTGATGAACTCTGCACTCTCTCAGAGCTCAATCAACCGGCTGAGTCAAGGTATGTAGGTTTTCAGCATAAGTGCGATGTATTGCGTGACAGCCAACGCAAAACATAGGATAGGTTATGTGGAGATGGTTGGGGTTGAGTGGTATGCGCCGGGTTAGCTCAGGGTATGTGGTACAACAGTGTATGCTCTAATGTGGGGCAACCAACTGGTCAAAGTCGGGGGGTGTGAGGGCAAGGTGAGCCATGTATGCTCCCCAGAATGTGACACGGTAGGACACCTTTGTGTCCCATGTAGTCCTATTAGGCTAGTTAGGTAGTATGCATCTAAGTACCTACAGATTGTCTTGTACTGTACTAATGATACAATCCCTTTGTCTACTCCACAGGAGGTCTGACTGTGGACAACTTGCATGCGTCGAGCCGAGCAACGAGTTACGACCACTTAGGGCCGGGTGGCAAAGCAGTGCTAGAGCCCGAAGAGACGATCAAGGTACACACGATGTACTGGCCCTACTGGTTTGTTCTAATGTCTTTAGGGTTTAGACGATGTACTTGCCATACTGGTCTATTCTATTGTTTGTCTAAGTGGAGAGTACCATGGGTTGTGGTACTCAAAGGATACGACCAAGTTATACCCGATAAACTGTACAAGGTGGACTGTGCGGTACGCGTGTCCACTTCCATTTTAGGAAGCAGGGTTGGTGGTGATCGACCAATTTCAGTAGTTTTTATCGAGTGATTGCGCGGAAGCGGGACCTGGTCTTAGGTTCAATGGTGTCAGAGTTAATAGCACACTGACCCTAATACTCATACCAGCGCATACAAATACAGATGGAATTCGAGTGTTCACATACGTTCACACACGTTTACATACAGTTTCACATACGTTCGTGCGAATAAGTCGGAAACGGATTGACCCAATCTCAACGCATTTAGATCTGACTATTGTACACGTCCACACACGAAGTCACGCACGTTCGAGCGGTTGAATTAGTATTGAACTGACCTGGATACGAGTACCATTGCATCAGTCACAGGGAGAATTCAAGTACCACAGACATTCGTGCGCGCAATTGAAACACGAGTCGACCCATTTTTTATTTCTTATCGCGTACCTACACAGGTCGATTCCGAGTATTACATACGTTCGTGCGAGTACTTCAGGCAGCCGCTCTTACACCCCCAGCGGAAGAAGCCGCCCACACCCGGCTCAGCTGGCGGTGGCTATGGCCCGAATGAGCTCAGAGCACAGTACATACGGACACGCAACCAGAGCGTGCTTAAGAAGGCCATAGCGTTGGAACACTTCAATCCAGGTATGGTATGCTGGACACCGATTTTGTGGCTGATGGGAGTGGGGTTCGCAAGAAAGTTTGTGCGACAATTTGATGTCAATATGCGCATTTACATACAGTATGCGCTAGAGTGGAACGTGGGGTGTGTATGAAAACTTTTGCTGATTTATATATCTGTAGTCGAGCCACGTATTTTTGGTGGGCACAACGATAGGACATGCACGAGCAATATGGCGTGGTTGAGAATTCGTAGCTTCCAAACACTGCAATACAAGTATGCAAAACATATATACAACTTGCTTCAGTGGGGGTTATTTAGTTTATGTGCGTGTCCTTAGGTGATGGGAACAAGACCTGGGCAAACTGAGCGTACGGTATACGTATGCGCAGCCAGAATGTACCAGTTAATCTTAGTATGAGAAAGGCAGGTACAGCTTATGTACAGGGGCTTGTTAGCCAAGGGAATTGGCTGATTCTCTTGATCTGTTATTGGGGATACTCGGGGCGAGCGAGCTCAGTGCACAGTGTTTGAGCACACATAACCCAAGTGCCCAGGAAGGCATCTCGTACACTCCATACAACCCTGCGAATGGAAAGCAGTACTCCCGGGACAATCGCCTACGCACATGCCTATACATCAGCATAGGCCATCGAATTCAATGTCTCTTGCATGAAGCGCTCGCTCTCATTACTATTTTCAGGAGATGGTAGTAAGTACTCGCGAGTAAAATGAGAGCATCACACGGCGGTATACTACGCTAAAAGCCCTTACTCTCAATACACATCAGACGATTGATATTACGCTGAAATCAAACACCATATATATAATTATATATATATATATATACATACATACATACATACATACATACATACATACATACATACATAC